CCCTCCAGCCCAATAACTCTTGATAATAGTGATAAATTTTGATTATTTCACCAATACTTGTGTAAAAGTAGGATGGGACATCTAATGCCCTTTTTGTGAGATTTGGAAGTGCTGTGGACACAGACACTGCAAAGCTTTGTGTAGAAGTACAGATTTTTTTAAACAAAAGCCAGCCCCTTCTACTTATCTGCTGGATAATATCCCTTTTGTAAAAGATTTTGCATTGTTTTACTTCCTCAGAGGCAACTACTTGCATTATTTTGGGTTCTTTTTAAAGCCTTTAAGGTTTTAAATATGTTTGAATTTTAGTTTCTTGATTTTTTCTGGTTTTAGGAATTGTGTTTATTTCCCACTTCCAAACTAAAGATGCTGTTATTTTTCCTATTGTTTCACTCACTGCTCATGTGTATCCTTTCCTTTACCTTTCAAGTAGTTTGTCAAAACCAAGTTAGCATGACGGTTTCTTGGACGCATAAGACTCAGGTCATACACCTAACAGTAGCAGTAGCCAGCGTACCTGCTCCAGCGACAGTTCCCACAGGGTAAGAAAACGTGGCCAGATGAGAACTGCACATGCAGTGAGGTGTATTATGGGAGATGAACCCAGATCAGTAGTCAGCAAGACTGTACTCCTGAAAGACGTTATTTTTATTAGGTACAAGTATCCTGCTATTTATTCCAAAAGGTGATAGCTGTCTTCCAAAGCCATGCACCATGCAAGGTTGCTCGAAAAAGTCTAGAACAAAGGCCAGTCAGTGCCTCAAAACATGGTGAAAATGCACAAGTGCTGTCAAGAATTGCTTTCCAATATCTTTCTTCTGAAATTATGGTTAGGTCAGTGTTCACATTTCACAGTACTAGGACCTTGTGTAAACTATTCCCAGCTAAGTTAGGTATTAAACTATGATCATTTTTCCCTTTCCTGAACATATTTTTATTACTGGTGGAGTTGTTGTATTTTTCATTTGCTTAGTTTTCTTTATATCAATAATTCAATCCCTAATTCTTCAATTTGTTTAAAAACCCATCAAATCTCCCAGGCATGATGGTACATGTCTGTAATTCCAGGACTCAGGAGGCTGAGGCATGAGGGTTACTAGGAGTTTGAGGCCAGTCTGCACTGCACAGTGAGAGCTTGTCTAAAAAAAAAAGACCCAAAATAATAACAACAATCAAACACAAATCCCATTAAGCCATCAGATACATCATATATCTACTGACTTCATACATCCAAAGAGGCCTTCTGGAGGCTTCGACCTGCTCTGGATTCAGTGTCCTCTGTGCCTAGTATACAGCTCATCTCCTAGGCTCATGAACCGTCATCCTTGGGGGACATTATTTTTTTGTACCAGGACTCTAACTTGGGACCTTGTGCTTACCAGGAAGGTGCTGTGCCAATGAACTACATCCCTGGCCTCCTTGGGAGATCTTTTGATGGAACATGATTTCCAGTCTATGACAGTTTGTTTTTGTTTTTAAGACAAAAAATGCTAGTACTTCATGATAAATAAGTGGGTTTTTGGTTGCAGTTTGGGCACTCACCTCTAAAAGGATCACCATCATTGATCTGTGAGAAAGGGCATGAGGACATAAATTTTGGGGACTTCACATGTATTCAGATATCTTTATTCCTTTCAGAAGCTTGAAGATATGGCTATTGCCCTTATCCCCCCAGGCAGGCTGTCCTTGAACTTGCTCTGTAGCTCAGGCAGGCTTCAGCCTTCTGTCTCAGCCTCCCTCAAGAGTGCTGGGATTATAGGTGTGCACCACCACACTCAACTTGCTATTGCCTGTTTTATTTTCAGTTGTAACTGTTGAGAAGTTTGAAGACATGTTAGATGCTTAAAAAGTTCCTTTTTCTTCTTCTCTTTTGGACTCTTGAAGGATTTTCTCTTATTCCAGTGTTTGAAACTTCATGTATACCTTGGTGTATATAGGAAAAGATAATTGCTGCAATGATAATGCTGCATAACAAGTGACCACAAAGCTCATTCCTTTATAAGCACTGTTCCCTTGCTCATGCATTTGTGGGTAAACTGTGCCTATGCTAGGCTCAGCAACGTTTGGCAGTTAGTTTACCACCTGCGTTCATTCTGCGTGGTTCTCCTCTTTGTTCTTGGACCAGCACACATGTCTGCTGATCTTCCATTGATCAAAACATGTTATATGGCCAGGTCCACGAGCAATGGGATGATCCCACCACCTTAGTGAGGACACTGCACTATTACACAACAGAGGGTATAGATGGATTGGGGATAATGACCAGTTCATCTTCTCATGGTTCCCTTTTCATGCGGGACATTTGCCCTTTCAGTCTGTGAACTTTTATCCTTCGGGCTGATGTACTTGATTTGTTTTATTAATCACCTTCATTTTGCCTGGAGATCCTGTTATTTGGATCCTGGATCTAAACATGTCCCTCGAGTTTATCTTTCTCTTCTAGTTTCCATCTGTGTCTCTTTAGTCTACTTTGTGGCAGATTTCTTCAACTTTCAATCCCTGTATTTAGCTTTGGTTACCATAGTTTTTAAAGATCTTTTCCTTTTAAAATCTCTGTTAATATTATTGATAATGCTTTTGAAGCTTGCTGTATGTACTTGCCTGTTTGGTGTCTTTTTTCTTCCTTTTTTTCCTCTTCTTCCCTTTTCCTGCTCTGGGGTTTGAACCCAGGCCCTCGTACATGCCAAGCAAATGCTTTGTCACTGAGCAACACCCCTAGCTTTGTCTCTTCTATGAGACTTTCCTTAGGTATCCAGTAATACTTGGTTGTCTCTTCATATTTAGGAAACAGTTGATTGGAGACTCTTGAGTAAGTTTAGAAATGACTAATAGGCTTTCTAGAAAAGCCATTTAAAGTTAGGAACATCATGCCACACC